TCTAGTAGTTTGTTACGTAGACCTTGGACTTCATTGATATACAATGATTCTTACGTTTTGTCAAAGCAATATTTACTTTAAATTTTACTAAATACAAGTATTGAGCATTTTTAATATCTGCTGTTTTTTAATATATTTCTTACATCAATTAAATTATACATGTAAGTGCTATATCCGCAAATCCCGTCGATTTGTTGATTTTCAATACGTAAAAATAGTTTTTGTTATCGGTTTTTTTTTAGAAATGAGCATTAATTCTCCGATTATATTTCTCTGATTACAGGATATACTCACCAATTATTTAACGTTCTCGTTACTTTTTTCTAATGCTTTCCATCCCTACCCCATAACATGTTACTGTTACTAATGTGAACAATAAAATCTCACTTAAGAATAATAAGATTTTAACCACTTAATTTAATAACATATTAATCAAAAATCGTTGTCACTAGTGTGATGATTAAAATCGCAGATAAGGATAACAATTTTATGCTCATTTATATTTGATTAAGTAATTATGAGTAAATTGTTGAAATGCTTCTTAACTACATATTAACTGGCTATCTTCGATGAGTTATTCTACAAGATGTGGAGTTTAAACGTTCCGTCAAACACCACACGCCTGATAAAAAAGAGCAGTACATGCATGCACTAATATAGTTTAAATGTAAGTACTCATCGTTTGATATATATTAAAGTATAGCACTATTTCTCCATCTGTCGTATGGTTCTTCCTGCTGGCGTTACAGTGCATTCTGCTCATCCCTAGAACGCTAATATTTAACCATTTACCTTTTGATATTGAATCTGCCAACTTTTCTGTTTAATATAGAGATCTTAAATTTCACCGTACCAACAGAAAAACAGTACTAATTGATAAAAAACATGTTCTAAAATCAAAAGTCATCGCACTTTAATACGGTGGTTAGGTTTATAAAAATAAAAAATTTGTTGTTGGTATTCACTACTGTTCAAAACCTCTCTATTAAATACAATAGTTTATAATAAGTAAAATGGCCACTGTCGTCATATTTAATGTACATATATTGTGTATATATATTGTTTTTAATTTATAGAGTAAGTAAACTTACAAATAGTTTTCTCAGAGTTAGTGCTATTACGCACTTTTACTCTTTTGTGGCTGGGGGGGACTTACCCCTGCCCCACACTAAGCGTTAACTAATTATAATAACTAATAACTAGTATTATTATCATTTATTTATCTAACTGATGACGGACCGTAAATCAGCATATCTTCCTGTGCATCATAAGGTCGACTTAAAGTTTATTAGAGCGGGGTTGGGCAACTTATCGAATTTTGTGAATAATTTTAGGGCTCTGACCTTGATATATTTTTTCACTGAGTCAATCTTTAGATCTGTATGCATGTCTGTTGTCCTAATATACCAAGGAATCTTTACTGTATTTTATTACTGACAAAATTGTGTTTTGACGATTGATAAAAATTAGACCAATAAAAACGGTTATTCGCAACAAGAGTCAATTATTTGTTTCTCGGGATCCAGCGATTGCGAACGACTACGCACGAAGTCAAAACGCACACAAAAATATGTATAACTATAATATTATGGAATATTTTTCTCATATATTTTTAAATTATAATAACATTTATTTCATATAAAATTTTTATACTTAACATAATTATAAACTTATTCATATTCTTTGCATTTTTATATCCCTAATCTAATACACAATCAAATGAATATTATTCTAATGAATATTATAAATACATATGTATGTAAATATGAGATACTTATGTTACATATTTATTTATATATATATATTAATATATATGTATGAACTTTTCACTTATGACAATTTCTATACCATAACAGATTTTTTGCCTTTAAATTGAATGTCAAATTTTAAGCGCACTTCACCTTAACTAAAAGTCCCTGGCACTAATCCTTAAGCAATAATAAGACGACTAAAAAAGACTAAAGATTAGCGCATGAAGAGAAAAATCATTATTGCTAAGATGCAGGCAACTAGAACGTTTCACTAGCGATACGAGGGAATGTGTATCTGAATGGTATCAGTTACGTGTAGTCAGCTAGAGACAAGGTGAATATCAGTGGCAACATTTTCCGCATTGTTTTATTTTATTTAGTGATTTTCCTCCTGTCAGAATACAAGTAACTACAAATTAAGTTGAAAAGTGTAAAATGATGAAGATGCACACAGGATGTAGCAGAATCTTAAACAAGCACGACTAAGTAAGGATAAGAGCATTTTGTGATATAAGAGGAAAAAAACTAAAACTAGGAATGGGTACAGTTGATAGTTGATTCGTAACTATGAAATTGCTGACGATGTTTTTTTCAATTATAGATACACTGGAAATGATTAGAGATTTCCAATTTATATTTCGAATTTAGTTAGAAGCTGCAAAAAGTCACTTCCAGAAATATTTGAAATTGGTGAATTGGGATTATAAAATTACTGTCGTTTAGGCAAAATACGTCATTAATAAAATAGAAGTACATATACACAATATATCATAGAAATATATATGTATTAAACCTGTTCAATAATATTTTTAGAAACTGTATTTAACAAATTAATAATTATAATAAATCATATTAATTATAATAACTACAACTACTGAAAATTGTAATTCCGCAATATCGGTAAAAAGGAGCGTAATTTTAAAAAAAATATTCAAATCCAAAAAACTATTTGATTATCAATCAAGTCCACATGTTTACGGCTTGATCATACAGCTGTTTCGGAGGCCGCCAAATATTCATTAACAGTAGTTTTTGGAAATATCTGTTGGTTTATGCATATAAAATTTTTCAACTGCAAGTGTTAAGAATTGAATTCAATCATACAGGACTGTAAATTTGCTGACCACACTCAGGGTCAACATGCACGTAATTTGCATTTGTAAAACTATTTGGAGATTAAATAATGTGATAATGTTATTCCGTCTCAGCCCCCTAAAAAGCGAACGTGGGATTCGATATCTGAAAGACTTTTCAAACATGTGTGCAGAATATAAGCAATCTAAAATAAATATACTTTTTACAAATAATAGTGCCAAAATTTTAAATTACTACAATTTGTCATATAATCATCAGGTTAATGAAATAGCAGTGATTTGGGTATCACTTCTAATTCAGAACACTTTAAATTCAAATTTAGTGTTTTTGTGCTAAGACGTAAGTTCATAGTTTACATTTCACAGGGTTAAATCTCCAGCACTTGCTGTCCAATAACTTTTACTCCTTAAATTTATTTTTATAAATTTGTTCAATTTATTTTAGACTCATTCATAATAATGTACAAGAACAATCTTAGCATATTAAACTCTGCTTATTTTCCATTTTAAGTATTAAAATTATTTTCAATATTCAAAATATTATTCACATGCAACAGTTTTTATTTATAGGAAGATTCAATCGAACAAAGTGAGAATTATAAATAAATGAAAGACACAATTCATGTAAAGATAATTGGTAGGCGCTAATGGTTTTAAAATTAGTTTTTATGTGGGAGATTTTATTATTTATTCAAAAATTAATCCAAAATATTTCAATTATATATACATATAATCGTTTTATATAGTCTTATTACAATTTGTTTTAATAAACATATCCCAACTGTTTCAGTTACATTCTTAACTATTTAATGACTTATTCATAATATTGTACGAGAAAAACATTAGCCTATTAAACTATATTTTCTATACCTTCTTGGAATTCCAGTATTAAAATTATATATATAAATTATAAATTATCAACGACTTTTTACAAAGTAAGTAAGTAATCTAGGGTTAAAAAGTGCCTAATGTGAACAGGCTCTAAAACTAATTTAACTTTTCATACTCCTCACATAAATAATGTGCAAATAATGTGCTTTTTAAAATTTTTACAACATGAAGAATACATTGAGCATTATATGAACAATCTATATTCTTCATCAGCATAATAGAGCAATACGATGTACCTATATCTGACTATCTGTCCAAATTTCAGTGTACTATTGTTTTTGAGCTAATTAAATTAATTTTCCAATCAATAGATGAATGAAACTATATAACTATTATATTATACCACGTAGAGCCCGTAAAAAATAACTAAAAGAGATAGTTTCCATTTATATATAGATGTACATATATGTACATATCTAATTAACATGTATTTAAACAGGAAAATCTAACTAAAGCTCTATAGTACCTTAATCGTAAATTTTAAATCTACAATAAAGTTATTTGTATGAAGAGGATTAGAGCTTCGACAAGTCCAAAGCTAACTTACTTTCTTATTTTCTTTTTAATTTTAGATTCGACTCCATATAACGCCCATTTTTTATTACATACACTCAATCTCATGCTACTGTAATAAATAATAGTAGAGTACAGTGAAATGAAAAATGTTTTTTAATTTTTCAAAGTGGTTGCATTGTCAACCGTGCGTAACGTAACGTAACGTAAGCTTGCATTAAGCTACGTAACACCAACGCAAATGGCAATTTCACATCCCAAACATCTTTGACGCTCCCCTACCAATAGCTCAAGGGACCGACAATGTGTGCACGTACATACCTATATGTGAACATATATGGTTTACGATTTGCAAAAATTAAAGTGTCTTGTTTAAATTTTTTTATCCTTTTTTTGCTTAAAACGCACTATGAAAAATCGTTTCATGGTCCTTTGAAAAATCAACCGCAACCAACAACAAAAATAACACTGATGACCAATGCTAGAGAAAACATTAAAAAATACAAAGTTTTGCAAATAGTGCCAAGGTATGAGTTGGCTTAACCATATATATATATATATATATATGTATATAAATAATAATAATAAAATAAAGTTAAATGGAAAGTATGTTTCGTATGAAAACCGCATAAAACAACTTTGCTATATATATCTACCCATATGTGGGTAAATAAGTAATATACAAAGATATTTATATGTATATAAATATATATGGTGAGAAATGCTTAAAACTTTTTAGTGATTTACTTACATGCCAGTATATTCCTCCGGATATGGTATAATATATCCCTCTGGACTTGGGCGCGCTGTTTTTCCAACCCAGAAGAATGCATCCGGCCCCGTTCCATCATATGCAAAAGATTTTATGAATAATGTCGATTCGTCGACTGCATAAATGGAGCCCTGAAAAGATGTTAAAAAGTTAAAATTGATATTTAATGTAAAGTAAGACAACATTTTTTGTTACAAAAAAAAAGTTGCATTTTTTGGCTGCTTTTAAAATAAAATTATTTACTCACTTTGATGCCATGTGCAAAATTTGTAAATTGTCCGATGTAACGACCGTAGTATGGCTCTGGTGGTGCTCGCCCAAAAGCTGCAAAAATCATAGTTAAACATTAAAAAAATTCTCAAAGAAAAAAGATTTATATGTGTATATATATATGTGTTTTCATAGTATACTATAGAGATTCTTTGCTAAAACTGCAAAGTCCTTAACAGCAAAAACAAACAAAAAGAGCTTAATATATGTATATATTATAATATCATAAAATGAAATAGCTTTATGAAACAAACTGCATACATACTTATATATACGAGTCAGTATCTTATAATCTTTGAACAAAGAAAACATTTTGTATATTAAATCTGGAAAACAAAAGATACTTTTCTGTTTATGTTGATTTCTTTTCTTTGGCAGACATTAAAATAAACTTAAATTAATCCGTTTGAAAAGTTTTCAACATCAGCAACAGCAACAACAACAACAACACAAGAACGTTTGTATCTTATTTTGCGTTGCTGTTTTCCGTTGTTCACTCAGATACGAAATATTGATGCAACTCAAAGCTTCTGCTGTTCTATCTATAATTAATCTTCATTGAGAGCTTAAGTACGAGTATTTACTCAAGTATTTGCTAAATGCATTGTTTGGTAATGACGTAAAGTAATGCAGCAGCAATAAATAATATGATAACGTTTATTATAATTGATACTTCGAAACTTATAGTTTTTTCAACTCTATGCAAATGCATTATTTCTATTTGAAATTGTAAATAAAACACAAAAAATTTATAATTCAATAACTTCATTTGAATAATTGAATAAACTTCAAAAGAATCATTGTAACGTTGTCACATATTTGAAAACTTAACATTAACATTAACAAAACTTAACATTGATAAAAAGGGATCGTACACTGCGACCTAAAAGACCCCTTAGTAGGATTAGAATGTTTCTCCAAGTCCAATTTCTTTAATGAAAGACATTATAGAGCCTATCTTTCCTAGACTTGGATCCTTATGATTCATGAAATACCCTCCTAGGTGTTTCTTCCGCTTATGCATTAATGCCGGGCACTCTCCCAGTTCATGGTATGCAGTACATGGTATGTTAGAAGAAGAAATACTTAACCATTAAGAGGTTATAATATTCTTTCCATTAGCACAAAAATCAGAACTTACAGATTAAGTATTTTATATCACTAAGATTTACCTTAACGAATAATTTTAGACATCACTGGTGTTAGTTAACAACATTCGTTAACACATTCGATGATATTCCCAACTTTAGAATTAGTATTACATTAGTATTTACTAATATATGAATTACAAAAAATTAAATTTTATTTTAATATACAATTAATTAATTTTAATAACATAACATTAGCTAGAGAAGCAGAAATTAAAACCATTGTCAAAAACTGGACAAAAGTGAAAAGCTACAAACAGAGCTGCCGCCATTACGAAACTAGTGGAAGGCCGAGATGCTTTAGAAACTGCTAAGATAGAAGAAAACACACCCATAAAGTCTTGCTATATTCAAATAGAATAGTTGGCTGATCATATGTACAACGCTGTTTCAAGTTAGCTAAATTTCAATAAATTAACTAAATTTTTGTTGTCTTTTCATTTTTATTTGAATTCTTCTAACTTTTAAATAATTTCTTTTCGCCATAAAACCCGTCACTCTCGACAAGAAGAAATAAACATTAAATATTTCTTATATTTTAAAAAGTCAGTATAAAATTTTTATAGTGTATAAAACATTGAAAACTGATATTATCCGTAATAAGTTGCAAAAGGCGCTGTAAGTAAACTAAGTAATACATACTTTAGAGCAAATTATGTTGTATAAGGTAAATATTATGTTTGATAAAACACAAAAATAATAAAAATAGAAAACTAGAAACTAAAAACATATTAATAGATATGTAGGTGTAGTGAAAGAAGGAACGAATTCTTCTCAATTAGTTAAATAAAAGCCGTTTTGAAAGAGTTTACGTACAATGAAATTCCTATAGTACAGAAAACAACATAGTTGTTGTTGCATTTTTTTTTATTTTTTTCCATTTTTCAGCAAGAAAAAATATTAACGTGTAATATTAGTAATATGAACAGCAACAATAACAATGTCAGTAGAAACATAATGAAGAAGAAATATGTGATTATGTCATTAGGCATGCAAATTCGTTTAGAATATATTTTCTCAGTATAAATGTAACCATAATTAAAATAAAGATCCTTAATATTTTTGAAATTTTAAAATTAATCAACTGTGTTCTATATATATAACTATTAACAATACAAATTCTAAGTTTTATCCAATTTATAGAAATAAGTTAAGCAAATGATTCTTGTGGTAAATGAAGAAGAACAAACTGCTTTCTCTCAATAAACAAATTTCCTGAGATTCTTGGGACCCAGGTTACTGTTGACAAGAATAAATTTGAGATTGTGAAAGACTTTGATTATTTTGGAACTCAAAAACAAGAATGACGTCAGCCCAGAAATTTAAAGAGGAATCATTCTTCCCAATACATGTTACTTTAAACTAAGAAGACAATTAAGTGACAATACCCTCTCGCGACAAACAAAAATCACGCTATACAAGGTCTTATCGTACATATTCTGCTATATGGTGCAGAAACTTGGACAGTTACTAACAGTGATGAGAAGGCGACAGGAGCATTTAAGAGAATAAATTCAAGAAATTAAATGGAACGATGTACTGTACATTGACTGTACATTGAATGGAAGAAATTACTCCGACAAGAAAAATATTTGATTCGGTACCTAGGAGGTATAACGGTACCTTCCAGGTTATTCACGCCCGCATCTTTGATAGAAGGATCAGTTTATGATAAGGACTAATGATATAAAGGCACTCGGTACTACTAACTGACGACAGTAAGCCACTGATCGGGCTGTAGTTTCCACAAGACGCGGCTAAGGCCGACTTACCAACTAAATAAGTAAGTAACACAAATTATGAAATTATAATTTCAAATTATTGAATACCTTTTAATTTACATATATAGGCTCATTACAATTATTAGTTTTTATAAACTAAATAAATAAAATCTCTCGCATGCGATAAAAAAGTTGATGTTATCTATAAACACAAAAATTTGTGGTAAATTTTTTCAAAAATCAGCAATAAAAATTATAAAAGAAATGAGTGAATAGCATTAAATCAAAAACAAATGGAATGAATGCAATATAAAAAATAAATAAATATAAAACTGTATAATATACGAATACGAATAGGAAATTGCTTTAAAAAAAAATAATCACAACAAAATGAAAAGGAAAATAATAATAATAAAAGCGGCTTTTAAAAAATTGTAAACGTTTGCGTATTTTAAAATTTTGCTATGCCAGTTTTTTCTTTCATTATTTGCATAAGGAAGGGTAGGCAGGAGGATGCTGGTATTTCTCCAAAACGTCTCAATTGCAAATGTATCGACGTTTTGTCATTCTGTTGTGATGTGTGTGTGTGTGTGTGTGAGTAAGTTGCGGAAGCGTAAGGAAGTAGTGAGAATTGCTAAAACATGAAGAAGTGTGGAAATGTCGAAACGTTGAAACGTTGAAATGTTGAAACGGCGGATAATAATGTGCACTAATGCGTACATTAATCTGAAAATTTTGAATTCGTATATGGAGCACGTGTCTGTGGAAGACTACAGACGTGCAATTCGTGCAATTCGTGCTCGAGGATATTTATTTAACGATACAATAACAACTACACTTTGATAAAAACAACAACAATAACAATAACAACTGCAAACCAACAACAGAGGCGACGACAACTAAGGGACAATAATAATGACGTTGACAACCGCCGTCGATCAGGTTGTTGATATATTTTAGTAGCTTTTTTTTCCAGCTAGTGGGGTTGCTGGCATTTCACATATATTATGAATGCATATATATGTGTGTGTGTTTGTGTATTGCCGTGCTTTTTTTGATGTTAGTTCAGATAATAAATAATTTTGCTGCTTTTGCAATTGTTATTAACGTAAAAGGAAAAACTTTGTTGTTGTTGCTGTTATTGTTGTTGTTGTTGCTTTTGTTGAGTTTTTCATAAAAGTTTTAGTTGTCAAGTCAACAATGGTTTCTATAGCAGCTTTATTTAAAGTTACATTTCACATCAATGAATCGCATTTACAGATTTTTATCGATATCACATAATTAAGTTCCCCGCATCTCTAAAAATGATCTATTTCAGAATTCAGAATTATGTGCGTTAGAAATATATTTTTTTTATGTTTAAATGAAAAAATACTTTGTAGCAAATTAAAAAAATATACATATATTTTATGCTTTTTTATATTTTCTTTATTAGTAGTTTCCTCTAGAAAATTACATTTTTAATATTGGTACATTTCTAAATAATGTTACATATCCTCACTACTTCCTATAAAATACCTGAATGACGCTTATGGTCGATGGTCTTTCCATGCATTTAATACCCAAAAATAACTATTCTACAAATTTCATTTAACATTCACAAAAAGTAATGAAAATGACCCTTTAAGATTTCTAAACAAGTATACATATACACATTTAATAAATTAAAAAAAATTACCTATTTAGACAGAATATAAAATTCTTATTCGATTATTTGATTCCTTCTACAAATAATTTCAAAACTAAATAAAAGTCTAATATCAATTTACTTAGCGTCAAACCAAAGGGCTTTACTCAAACCAATATGCTCGGCTCCAACTAATATGTTTGGCTCCAACCAATGTGCTTGACTCCAACCAATATGTTTTACTTCAACCAATGTGTTTGGTTCCAACTACTGCTTGGCTTACCTTAGAGATTTACAGAAACCTATATGCTGACACTTCTAAAGTCAGCATTCATCTTGACTTCCATAATGTAAGACCATGTAAAAGACAGGCATTCATTTTTTGGAAAAATGATACTATATGGTTCATATCGAACATACATCGCACCGACAATCAAATAGTTATAAAGTTTTTATTTTTTAAGAACTATAAAAAATTTTTTATAAAATTGTCAAATTAATAAACAGACCTTTTCCGCAGAATTGAGCTGAGTTTGCTGGCAGGACACCACAACCTCT